CCCATCTAATTTTAGAACAATGATTCCTAGTATTCATTATCTTATAATTCTTCATCTTAAAATTCAAAACTAATAATTGATGTTGAGCTTTTAAATTTTCACTTGTAATGATCTTACAATCGTTAAATTCTCGACGATCTCTTCTTCTTATAAGAAAATAATTAATTTGTGTTTTATTATATTCATTCTTATAAGTAATAATATGCTCATTTCTTTTATTAAATAAATTATTAACAATAACAAAATCATATGCTAAAGAAAAATCTAATATGGTTCTGCATTTTTCATTAATCACTCTGAAATCATAGTCATCATGAATATTTTTAAAATCTTCTATCACTCTACGAACATGCCCATTTAAATCTCCTTCAATAAGAATTGTTTTTTCAGGACTTATTTTTTGTATTAATTCTTCTAGGTTATTTTAGAATTTTTTTTAGAACTGGTACTAAAACCTACTTGAGGAGCATAGGCACTTAAAACATAAAAAATCTTAGTATCAACAATATTCTTAAGAGCTATAATTATATTTCCAATTCTTTTAAGTCTTACAACATTATCTTTCAAATTCTTATCTATAATTACACCTACATCATTTATAATATACACCTACATCATTTATAATATGACTCATACTTAAATACCAAAGTTTAAAACCTAAACTATCAATCTTCTTAGCCTTTTTTTTAACTAATTTAGTTTCTTGAATATATAAAATTTTTATCTTACTATGAACCATAATATTAACTAATTCCTTTAATTTACCCGTGAGAGCACCTATGTTCTAAGATCATATCCCAATATTAGTTTCATGGACTAATTTTTTTACCTGATCCGTCCGTAATGTGAGAACCCTTGCTTAAATGACACAACATTCGGGTGTTGGCGTAACCGCCCTTGCACACTGTTTATTGTATTTAGGCCACATCGTGTTGCTTTCAAAGGATACCCTAACATTTACACAAGGATTTAAATGATTCATTCGATAAATTTTATGCTGGTTGTCGACTACCTAACGGAACCCTCGATTTTCACATCTGTGGTTTGGGACCCGACAATGGTCATAACAAACATCATAATTTTCTATGATGTAATAGAAAAAATTAACATCTATATTACTTTTTTTTCATTGAGTTACTGCGGTTTAGATATGTAATTAGCCTACCGAGATATTTTATAAAACTCATGTTATCAAATATTCAAGGTAAAAATTAGATAAAGAAGAGAGGTTATGTATTGTAGACGGGACAACACTAGGCTAATGTATCTTATTTAACATTTGTTTTGATTTTAGCAATTTATGTCTCCTTTTTAATTTATTGTTGGATTTAGAGATAGTTAGATTTTATTTTCATTATCTGATCAACCTTTCTGCCTTGCTAATTTCAAACCCCAGGATGACTATACTTTCGGGCACATCAAATTCTGTGGCTATTGATGAACTTCTAAAAATAGCATTTTCACGCCTATTTACTCATGAATATTTCTTTTGTGGGCAATCAAACTATGTGAACTCGACATCAAATATCTGTTTCGAACATTCATCAATGCCCATCATTCTAATGCTGACTTCATTGTACTTGTCCACAATTGATGATGCCTTGGAAGGCTAACTTTGGCTAATGTGCACAGAAGCCACCTTTAGAACTAGTATCAGGGGTTATGATATTTTTAGAAGCCATATTGGGATGATTTTTTCTTATAATCTAACCTCGATCTTCCCAAAATAAATAATTAGGTTAAGCACAACAATCTTTTGGCTTGCTTCTTGCTTGCAAATGAGGTATGCCTCCTCAATATCCTCAATCACTCTAGGCTGATAGTGGACCAAATTAATGTTGAATACCAGGCTAAGACCACAGCTTGCAGAAGTACTTATTGAAGATCACAACGTAGATTGACCTCCTCAACTGCTTCAAGATCTAATATGGAGAGCCCGTGTAATAACCCATTTTAAATTTTAATTAACTTAAAAATAACTTAAAATATCTGTCATTTCATGGCGATGTGATGCTCATGGGAAAATAAAACGAAGCTGATCTTCTTTGTTTCCATGAGTCCCCATGAACGACAAATTTGGACTAGAGATAGAAAGCTAGATAGAGGAAGTTAGGGTGGGAGAGAGAGAAAGGGAGGGGAGAAGCAGAAAAAGACGTGGGAAAGAACAGAGGAATAAGCCTGTGCCCTAATCATGGAGGAGAAATCTCATACCTTGCTGATGACACCATTTATGTGCTCGAGAGACGCATGTTGCGACATCATCCAGTTGTTTCGAGGGAGTGGGGATGAACGACAATGTTGAACGTGTGTTTATTTGCGTGAGGGAGGAAGCTCTAGCCGAGCTGAAGTAAGAGCAGTCGTGTGCGCCGAACGTGATGCACGAAAGGTGTGCCTCTTGCAGGAGGCTTGATAGCTTCTCGTGCAAAGGAAAGGAGGAATGGAAAAAGGGAGCTCGCGTGTGCTGTTAAGTGCATCCGATCAGTGCTTTATTATATTTTTTTATTACATATTATTTGATTTTTATTAAATATTATTTATGAATTTAAAATCAGAATTTGAATGTATAAAAATATGAACTTTGACTGGATCGAGGAAAGTTGACAATAGTGAAGGTAAAGGTTCCGTGGTTTAATTATACAAATTTTTTGTTTTATTAATTAAATGTTATTAAATTATGCTAAACATTATGAACTAATATCAGTGATTAAATATGGTTAAATGATCAACTTAAATGGAAAAAAAATGGAGATTGAGGTCAATGTTTGTGCAAAAGAAGAACAGATATTTGAGGTAAGTGTAGAATTTTATTATTTATTAAATTGTTAGTAAATTGAAAACATATTAATGATTAATATTAATTTTCTTAAATTAGAAATCAGCAATGGAAGAATACTCAAATTGGAGGAGAAAGAAGAAAGATACTGAGGTAAGGGTTTAATTTTATAATTTGAATTAGCATATTTAATTGAATATATTAAGTATTTAATTAAAATACAATATGAGAAAGTATATGCAGAAGAATAAAGATCAAACTAGAGCAACTAGCAGGGTGAATATGGAGCCTTGTGTGTGAGAAAATAATACTAAGCCTTTAAGGTAAGAGATATAGTTTGTTTAATTTAGATTTGTTTTGCAAAAAATTAAATAATATTTAGGTATTAAATTGGAGCTATATTAATTAATATCTAGTGTTATTGTGGATGAATAAACTTTTGAAGAGATTTTTGAAAATTTAATGTTAGCAATTAAATTTATAAATTATAATAATTTTACTTTTTTTCTAAATGTATGTTTAATCTCATTTATGCTTTATTATCGTTAGATTTAGATTATAGTTGATTTTTCATATTGTTAGATAGGAAAATATGCATATTAAATAGTTGCACAATAACTTTTCTATAAAATTATTCGATTATTGAATGACATTTAAATTATAGTAGATGTGCATATATATAGATTGTTACATGACATGTGAATTCTAATATAGGTGTAGATACCAGTTTATTCATGATCTTTAGATTTAGCTCAAGTACATTTATTCATTAATAGATAAATGTAATGTCTCATAAGAAGAAAATGTATTCAATGAAGAATCAAATGGTGCTTGTATGTGCATGCTAATAGAAGAAGTTCACCCCCTTATGGTACAGACAGAAGATGCCAATATACACTCTCACGTAGATATTATCCTATCCACTATGCGCCGTCGACGGAAGAATATCGATCAGAGGCGAGTAGACATATTTCCATCTCAGATAATCATGTAATTTAAATCATGAACCGTTGTGCCGATGAGGTAAGATTAGTTAGGATGTTTTATGTTATATTTTGACGGTGCTTCTATTACAAATATAAATGTTAAGATATGAAGTATATTAAATTTCAAGAGATTACACCTTGAAAAGTAAAGTAAAAGAAAATACATGTAGAAGCTTTTGAGTTTTTTCCATAAGCATACATCATGACCATATGCTATAAATTATTATATTAGGAGAGATCAATATACATATTGCTTTCTTTCCTTGTGTTACTGCATTTTAGAAAAGTGATTACTCAACTAAGTTATCTTAATTAACCTATTATTTTATTTTAATATTTTTTTTAGATTTAAGCTTTTGAATAAGATGAATAATAAATGTGATACTTTTACAGAAAGCAAAAAAACTTGAAAGGTAACCTTTTATTTAGTAAATATAATTGCTTTCTTCAGTGGCTTTTTAAATTAATATATGAATATTAATTTGTTAGTGATAGAAATAGAGTAATAAAAAAAAAAAATTTCATCATTTAACTTTCTATTCATGCCTTAGTTAATTTTAAGTCCCGGGCTGATTCGTAATATCTAAACGACCAAGCAACCCACTATGTGTGCCAATCATATCAATATTATAATTGGGGAGCTAGAAATTTCAGTATTTATGAAATTGAATTCAAGTTGCTGCTACCTGAATGGATCCCATCTTCTGATACCTATCTTAGGGTACCTCACCTCATAGTTTGGTAGGCTGCTTTAAGTTCAAACCTGCCTAATAATCTCTCATTGATGGTACTGTACCAAAATAACCTCCCTGGGCTGTTCATTTGGCTTGTCAGTAAAGATCTGCTTAACAAGCACATGAGGGCAATTTCATCCGCACAAGCTACAAAGTCACAACAGTAAACTTAAAGTTTTATCTTTTTTCTAATGGGTTTTTTTTTTCCCTTCTTTTAGAACCTGAAGTCTTTTACTTTTGTACCCATTAATTACTTGAATAAATTCCTTCGCGTATTGGCTTGAAACTCTATCAGTAAGAAATGATATTATGACCCATTATTATTACCTTTTAATACCCATAGTTATGCTCAACATTTATGATATAGCAGCCGTGTTCTCGTTCTTCCAACTTTGTTAAATGTTCATTTTTTCTCATTCTTTATTTTTTTTCATCTACCATTTAAATGCTACTGTCAGTGCAAGTTTGGATATTATAATATACTTTGATAGCTTTTCCTACATTTAGGTTTTTATACTAGGATTTGGAGCTATTGGATTTGAACTTGCCAAGAGATTGAGACCATTTGGTGTAACGATCATTGCAACTAAGAGAAATTGGCATCCAAAGTCAACACAATTCTATTGTAAGGTTTGCATTCTTGTAAACATGTAAAAACGATAGAAATTTATTTTAAACAGAAGTTCTTGATTGATTTATTGCTAGCATCAAATGAAAAAAGTGATGAAGTGGATGGTCTGGTTGATCGGAAGGGTGGTCCACATGAAATTTATGAATTTGCTGGTGAAGCTGACATTGTTGTCACTTGCTTAACTTTAAATCCTGAGACCGTTAGTTTCCTCTTTCTGTATTCCCTCTATGTTTTCAACATTTCTTGATTTTTTTAATTTCTAACATAGTATCATCATTTATGAAAATTCTAGGTTGGTATCGTTGATGAGAAGTTTCATTCTTCTCTAAAAAAGGTTTGTGAGCTATCTGTTTTATTAATAGTAATAATTGTACTATAGTAATAGCTACATTTCATTGATTCGTTTATCTCTTACTTTTGGTAATTATATCGCTCATTTTTCTTTTTCTGCCAGTGGTTTATCACGTTATATATTCCACTGGGCTCCCTTACATTTAGACAGTAGCTATACCAAGCCTTCACTTCCATGGGAGAGAATCATTCGACTAAATTGTGAATTGGAACAATTAAAATATTTTCAATGATGTTCAAAACTGGCTTGAATGCTTGATCAGGTTTTTCAAATTAATGTACAAATAATTGATAAATTTTGCTTATGGTGATTTGTGTTCCAAAAACCTTTAAGGGCTGTTTGGTTTGGTGAAAATAGAATGTAATGTAAAATGTTTGTAGAGTACTATGATTACAATGTATTTGAAATTTTTCTTAAGTTGTTTGATTCATTGTAAAATAAATGTGGGGACTTTACATTTTTTTTGTTTGGTTTGAAGCAGATTGAAAACAGTATACTTCAAAATAAATTTTTTTTATTCGATGGCTGTAGGTGCCCAGCCGGTGGCTAGCGGCGTAGAGGGCAGAGGGTGGCCAGTGTAGAGGGCGGGCGGGCTGCGACGACATGGAGTGCGGACGGGCTGCGACGACATGGAGTGCGGGCTGCGACCAGCGGCCAGCCCGGCGGCGGACGAGCAACAGTGGTGGATGGCTAGCAGTGGCTTGCTTGTAACATTTTAAATGATTGTGTAATTCAAATTTGGTCAAATCGGTCGAATTCTAAATTTAGCGGAAATAAACTATGGTGTAAACTTCAAATCCATTCATATTTTACATAGAGTGAATTTGTGGTGTAATGTAATTCTTTTGTAGGGATTTGAGAAAATTATTGTTTCGTATAAAGAATTACAAATACAATGTAAAAAATGAATGAATTTAAAATTTTTACCGTAGCTCATTATGGCTGAATTTGGAATTTGACCGATTAGGCAGAATTTGAATTACACTATTTATATAAAATGTTATAGGCAAGCCATCTATCGCTGCCACCCGTCGCCGCAGTTCATCGCCGCCTGCCGCCGTATCCCCTAGTTGCTCGTCACAGCAGTTCGTCTGCCTCAGCCTGTCGCCCGCCACACAGTTCGCTGCCTGCCGCCGGCCAAGCCCATTGCTGTCAACCTCTTGCCGGCCTCGCTCTGTTGCCATCAAAAAAAAAAAAAATGAAATTCATTTTTTAATCTACTTCAAACCAAACAAAAAATATAAAGCCCTATGTTTATTTTACAACGAATCAAACAACTCGAAGAAGTTCAAATACATTATATTCACAGTATTCTGCAAACCTTTTATGTTATATTTCATTTTCAGCTAATCAAACCTTTTACATTACATTTTACTTTCAGCAAACCAAACAGCCCCTAAAAGATGGAAATTGAAAAACTAATAATATGATTATGGTATTTTTGAAATGTTCGTGACTGTGGTCATAAAGACGTGAAGTTCACACGCACTGTCTGTTTGGTGAATTTGCATATGTTTTCTACATGTAGTTTTATCTTCTTGTGTAAACTGAATATCTATTGCTGTTATTTCAAGTTATTAATTTTGATGGAGGTTAGATGCTCTACATGAGAAGTCTAATTGGTTTAAGTAGTCTTTATTAGAACCAATTCGAACAGCAATTTTTTAATAAAAAATGAACTAAAAAAATAAAAAAAAGAGTTGCAAGTGAAATTCTTATAGTGCTTTCCGCCATGCCTTCTCCATTATATAGAAATACCTCAACTATAATATCGGTGCACATATTTTTGTTTCCTTAAAATCTCATAGATAGCCTGCAATTACAAATCGCAATTTGAATGCAAACATAAGTCATGGCAGCTTCAAGATTATCAAATTGGAGTTTAAACCAGACAAGTTGGGTTTTGTCCAAACTCACAGTGATGATCCTAAGCCTGCAAGCTCTCCTACTAGAAAGATCAATAATATCTTTTTTTTTATTGTGGGATTTATCTGGATACAAGAGGGCATTTTAATTTATTTTATTTGCTTCTAAATGGCTTATCAAAGGTAATTACATTATTAAAAATGTAATGCCATGTACTAAAATAACCTTTCTTGTTTTCTTTAGGGTTCCCTTTTGGTAAATGTTGCCCGAGGAGGGATACTAGACTACAAATCAGTCCTTCGGCATCTGGAGTCTGGGCATTTAGGTGGATTAGCTATTGATGTTGCTTGGAGTGAGCCATTTGATCCCGAGGACCCAATTTTAAAGTTTCCAAATGTCTTGATCACACCGCATGTCGCAGGAGTAACAGAGTTCTCTTATAGAGCAATGGCAAAGGTCTGTATATTTCGTCATATTCTAACTGTTTTAGATATTTTCTTGTTCATATTCTAATTAATTTAAAGATTTTACTTATTTTTTTGGTTCCTATTTTTTTCACTATTAAAAATTTGTGAAAGATTACCAAGGTCTGCCAGTTCACTGCTATAAATTTAATGTGTTAAATTTCTTGAAGTGCTGGTACCTGCATTAATGTGAAGAAAAGTGACTAAAGTGAACAAACTATTCTGTTTTGCATTTTTAATTAGATCTGGGTCCTCACGAACACTTCTGAAGGCTCGATAGAAACTAATGGTAGAGGGAATAGAGCTTAGATGAAGCGAAGCCTTTGTCATTGGGCTCAAGTTATAATACTGACGATGACCTGTAAATGGGGATCCATTTGCTTACTCCAGCTGTACTTAAATTTAATACAGGTCTCATTATGGAGTACTAACTAGACTTTCTATGTTGATCTTTTCGATTATAAAATGAAATTTCTAACCGCCTTATGCAAAGATGGCATTATATGGACAAGTATATGGAAGGACTAAATAATGAACATGGATATTAGACTAAATTTTTTTTTTCCTTTTGGAATTTGAGGGCAGAAGCACAAATTTGATGCAAGTATTATTTGAACTCTGAATATTGAAAACAATTTCTAAGCTCTTTATTAACTTGGGTAGCTATTGATTATGTAATATAACCTTGCCTGTTGGTGACATGGTTATCTGAACACATACTGTGGTTAGCTACCATGCAATAATCTAGGAGAAATTAGGTTTTGCTAATTTTCTAGAATCCAGATTTTATAGTGATGAGGGTGGACAACAGATATGAATGTTAATGGCATCCAATGTAATTCAGGAACCTCTGCAGAAATCTTGCATGGACAGTAGTCGAAGCCATCCAATCACAAAAATTTGGATGGCTGGGTCCTTCAACTTTCCTAATTTTGGTTCCTTTTTAAAACAACCTTGTCTTATCCTGCAATGGTCCACCACGTGCTTATTAGGCATCCTAGTTTCATTCTTAACTAATTTCCGTCTGGAGGAAGATAATATTATCTAATTACTAACCTAGACTTGTTTTTTTTTTCTTTTTTCCTTATTGTCACACATGATTTGTCCTTATACCACTTTATGTTTTTTATAGATATCTTATTAATTTTCAACATAGTATTAGACTTCTCTGTCACAACTCGATTCACGTACTTGGAATTACGATGGTGAATACAGGCATTCAGACAGTGAAAGACAATTTTTATTATTAACTGAAGTAATCATTAAAATAATCAAGAAAGAGACAAGCGATAAAAAATTGAATCAGTTTAACAGTAAAACAATTCTGAATGTATAATTTCATTTCTCTAGCTTGACCTGATATTTTATAAACATTTTCTTTACTTTCACTAATTTTCTTATTTAATATTTAAATTTAAAATTAATAATTTAAATTGTTGTTAGTCATCAGCAATTCATTGAATACTTCTGCCACTAAATTATAGTAAGATAACTGGGGGGAAAAAAACATATGCATGCTAGTCAAACATGGTAAATCAGTATAGAATTGTTTCAGAGTTTATATAATCAGAATGATTATTCAATAGTTTTAAAATTATATTTGTAATCATTGAAAATGTAATAATAATAATAAATAAAATATTTAGAAACCAACAGTGTTGGTTATTCAAATGAAACCATCAAAATGGTTCAGTGATTAGGAGACAAGGGAGAGGAAGATGGAGTTCCTTTTTGAGCGTATGAACCATGTTGTTGAGTTATTTTGTGTGCGTGGGAGGTGAAGCTTGTGGGTGACGGAGGAGGGATGCCCGCAGCTGGGAGAGGACACTGAATGCATTTTCACTTGCGAGCGGGAAACTGCGAAGTTAGGAGATTGACTGAGTTGCAAGACCTCTGTGAAATGCTTTTCCACTTGCGATGCCAAATTCAATCTATAAGACACCAAAATCGAAGGGGGAGCTCCGTACGCTAATTTGGTGCGAGCATTCACATTTTGCAGGAAGAGTCGATCCGATCCGAAACCTATAAGGTGAGTTTCGAGTTTATATATTTAATTTAATGATTATGGATATTTTGTATTAAATTTTGTAATTTTAAATGTTACATTTTAAGAAATAATATCATAAATTGATAGATTCCAGACTATATCAAGTGAAAAAAAAATTGAGTTACGAGGAGCTAAAAGTGTAATCAAGGTAAAATCTTTTAGTAACTTTTCTATTCTTTATAAATTTCTAAACTCAAGTAAATATATGTTCTAGTATTTTGATTGGAGTACAATAATAGATTGATAGAGGTGATCAAATGAAGTAATCAATCGGAGGTGCCAGGGGATTAAATAAGGAGCAAGATATGTAAAAATAAATTATATGCTTTAATGAGATTAATTAAGAGATGTATATTAGAGTTAACTTATAGACATTAAATTTCAAATTTGATGACTTAATTACAGTCCATGATTTAGGAATGTAATATAATATCATTTTTAAACCATTACGATTAAACAAATAAATTGTGTGATTAGGTACTATGCTTGAGAAAGTAGACGATATGGATTAATTGACTGTATCACCATTCAAAATTTAAGGTGAGTAATTATAATTTTGCTCATATTATTCATAGTTCGGGTATGTATAAAGGCATGTTTCAATTTTATTAAAATCATGATTGAACATGCTAGTCATAGTTCTTGTATGTATAAAGGCATGCTTTAATTTTACTAAAATCATGATTGATAGTTTAAATCATTACAAATATTGACAATATTATTAAGTGTTAAAATTCAATATAATCACATACAGTATAGCATGTTTTATGCGATTATAATTTAGTTGTAGTAGCTCTAGTGCCAGAGTTGTTACTATGGGTGATCAAATCATTCAAAGGTGTGAACATTTTAGATATCTTGGGTCTATTGTTCAAAGTGATGGTGTTATAGACGGGGATGTTATTAGTATAATTCAAACTGGTTGGTTGAAATGGAGGAATGCATCGAGACTATGGCGTGATAGAGATGTACCACTTAGAATTAAAAGAAAATTTTTTAAGATGGTGAGACCTGCAATGCTTTATAGCGCAAAATGTTGACCTTTAAAACAGCATAAAACAAAGTTAAGTGTTGTTGAGATGAGAATGCTTAGGTGGATGAGTGGCTTGATAGTTAGAGACAACGTGAAATGAATATATCCGTAATAGGGTTGGTGTAGCTCTAGTGGCGGACAAGGTTAGAGAGTCGTCTTTGATGGTTTTGTCATGCTAAACATTGACCATCTCATGATCCAGTTAGGAGAGTAGATGTTCTAGATTTGACTTATGTTAGGAAAGACACAGGTAGAGCTAAAAAGATTTGTGCATATTCTATAAAACATATCTTAATCTATTAGAAAAATATCTAAATATGACACTCAATGGTGAAAAACGATTCATGTAATCGACCCCACATAGTTAGATAAAGGCTTATTTTTGTTGTTGTCTGATCGAAAGAGCCATTAGAATTATCAAATAAATTTATACTAAGAATGATATAAAAGTTCCTTTAATTTAATTAGATTATTTTGTATTTATTTCAGATCTATGGTTAATCAGGAAGAACAAGTTGGACAATATAACATAAAAGAAATCAGAATGCCATAGAATATTATTGTTAGTACTGATGTATTTAATTAGATGATGACTATTGTGACCCAACTGATTAAAGCTTTCTCACTATAAGGTAATAGTAGTAGTGGTGGATGAGAACATATGGATAAATATTTGAGGTTATTTAAGGATATGATGCCGTCTCTCTTTTCTAGAATAGGAGGATCAATTGAAGTTAAAAATTAGTTGATGTGGGTGAAGAAAATTCGAGCTATTAGAAGAGAAAAGTTATCTTAGCTACTTTTACCTTGAATTATAATAAGAGAGTTGGTCGTAAGTGCAATTACAAGAAAAGTTTGGTGGTCAATCTAGTCATTCATTCAAAAATGTTTGTAAAATTATTTAGAGGTTGGTTTGTACCCCTCTTGGATTGGAGACGCATGCATGATAATTTCTCTTGATTGGTTCAAGGTGATCGTTCAACGTGTAATATGAAGTTTTGTTTACTATAGCTTTAAGATATACTTGCATATTATTTCAAATGCAGAAAAAAATGTTATAGATTCTAATATGGATTAAAAGATATAATGTCAAACTCGGGCTCATAAGGCAGTGCATCTCGGCATCGCAGAGCATGATGAAATGAATTGAATTTATTTTGTATTTTTAAAAAGAATATTATATGCAAATAATAATTGTGATAAAAAAATAAATATAAATTTTATTTCATAATTAATAGTCCATGTCGGCGCTAAAAGGGGGTAAAGTTAAAAGGTTGTGAGTGGTTTGTTCAAAAGTTGTCCGTAAGAAGCTGTCGGTCGCTGGAAGTGAAATCCCGTCGCTCGCTTCGGAAGGACGTTTTAATTTACATATATATATATATATATATAATTTTATAAAAATATGAAATCAAATTGACCTCATATTTTTCACAGTTTAAATGAAAGAGCGCTCTACCTCAAATCCTATATCTATTCCGAGGGATAAACACAAGACTTTTATTTGCCGACAAGTTCCCCTATTTAATACAAAGAATTAAATAAGGTTTATTTTAGGCTGGGTTCGGAAAAACTTCCTATAAGGGCAAACCCCCATAGTTAATTACATCTTAAATGACCGAAGTCACTTAAGAAAACTCTCGATAAAAACCAGGGAATATTATCTTCAAAAAGGTCAAAAGGGTAGAACTTTTTCAACGGAATCAGACGGAGATGTGTAAAGGGGAAAGACTCGAATCTGGAACATTGTTGAGGAATCCAAACGAGAAAGAACTAGTGGAGGTCGTAGATCCGGAGGCGAACCCTGGTGACTTCCCAGTCTATCCTATGGTTTGGCTTCAGTTTCGAGAAGAAATTATTAAAGTGTTTTATCCTGCCAATTTTATTTAATTAGGGCTTATATTTGCGTGACATG